TTTATTTTCCTATTCATCATTAATTAATTTTCTGAATTACTCATGTAGCTTAACTCTTTCCATACGTTTTTTCAAAGAATTTTTTATAACTAAACTAATAACCAAAATTAAAATTAAGATGGATTTGATCATGTTTGAGATGATTATCATTTTTTATTCATCAATTGTTTCTTTTTTTGTTTACTCAATTAGCTTATCAACTATAGTAGATGTGATTAATTCAACTTTTTGGGAGTAAATTCAATGTCTATTGGATGTCCAGGTTCATAGATATTCTGGTTTTGATTCTTGATCAATACTAAATTTAATTTCTTGAGTGTTCTAATGTAGGGACAATTTTTGTTTTAACATCATTCGATGTAGATTCATATCTTTGTTGCAAATTGTCTTTTGCAAGTAATACATTCTCAAAAGAATATTCTTGAACTACAGTTTCTCTACTAAAATAAGATTTAATCATATATTATGCTTTTGTTAGTGTGTGTAATATGATAACTATAGAGGTGATCTTATTTATTTTTCTCTAGCTTTTGAAAACCTGACCGAATATTGAACCGGTAAAGGATGATGTTCAAGGTTCAAAATTTGAACTGGAGTTTCAACCGAATGAAATAATAAATCATAAAGTTAATTAAAAATAACATAAATAATGTAATAATAACATAATTGATGCTTTAAGAAGTTTGTTACAAAACATAATATGACATAATAAAATCATCTCTCCAATCAATTTTGTCAGATGGGATTAAACCTCTTTTAATAGTGGTATATTTTAGAGGTGATATTAAAGTTTTTGAGTGTATGTTTAGCAATATTAAAGTTGAGGTGTTAAATATTGAAATCAATTTCTCTTGGAGTGCTTTTGAGCGAATTATTCTTATAAAAATAAAGGTAGTTATTTAAAAATAAATAAGGTCTTAAATTATTTTAATAAAATTTTCATATATTTTAATACTTTATATAACACATACTAATAATAATAATAATTTATTTAGGAAAATGTTAATCACAAAATAAAATATCCAATATTAATATTTATACTCCTATCTTTTTTAAGAAATTCTATTTTAATTTTGTGATGAAAAAATATATATATTTTTACTAAAAATGATATATTATTAAAAATATTTCATGAAAAAAATTGTATGAATCTTATTAATCACAAAATAAATTTTTTTTTGTTTTTTTATTATATTGATTAATTATATAGTAATCATTTTTATTAAATTGTTTATTCTATTATGCAAATCAATTTATCAACTTTAATAATTTATAAGTTTCACTTGCAGTAATTGTGTAACTCTAAATAAAAATATTTTTTTCACATGCTTTACTTTTAGGGTCTGTTTGGCGCAGCTGTGGATTATTTATAATCTGCTGATAAGCAGATTATTCTGATAATCTGATAATCTGCAGATTATCAGAATAATCTGGCTTGCTGTTTGGGGCAGCTTATTCAGACCAACTTATTGGTGGTTAAATGACATTCATGCCCCTGTTTGAATCAAAACTGTTTGGGGCAGCTTATTCAGAATAGCTTATTGTTGGAAAAGAAACATATAGTGCAGAAACATACGATAATCACAGATTTTTTCTAAAAGATACCATACAGTTCTCACACCTTAATGAGTACCAGGAGAACTAAAAAAAGGACAAATACAAGTACAACAACAAGGAGAAATATTAAAATATTCAACTTAAGACTCTGGCTACGCCTGTCCTCATCTGCACTGTCAGCCGGAAAAAACATCGGATTCACATGACTGCTGGCATGACTACTGTCAGTGTAATATGATGGACTATCGGCCCACCTGAAGAAACCACAACGGGCTGAAACACCCCTGGCACAACCATAGAACTGCCTCCCAAAGCTATGCTCCTTACGTGACGTTAGCAACGGAGACGGTAGTCCACAATAACACAAAATCCCTCTGTCTGTACTTGATATTCTGGAGGTCATGTTGGTATAACTGTGAAAATAACAAAAGAATGAAATGTCAGCTTAAGGTATTTAAAAAAAAAAACATAATTAAATGGGTATGAATATAAACCTAAAATCTTATGAAAAGAAAACTTGGTTGATCAATAGCCACAAATAGCATCTGTGATAGACTCCCTTAAAGCAATCATATCAGCCAAACTATCAGCATCTTGATCTTCAAAATCATTAGATTCTATGTCCTCCTCAGGTAATGAATGCCCCCCCACATGTCCTGTTGGTTGCTCTAAAATATTGAGTTCATCATTGTCAGCCATACTGAAGTCTGTATCTGATTGCGAGGAATGTCTTCGGATGAAGTTATGTAGTGCCATTGTTGCAACCACAATGTACACCTGCTTTTGGAAAGGATACGACGGCATATCACGTAAGATGACCCACTTCTTCTTCCAAACTCCAAATGTTCTTTCAATTACCCCGCGTAAAGATGAGTGGCGTTTATTAAACATTTCCTTTCTGCCACGAACCGTGCCACTAGCTCGCTCAAAATCAGGAAGATGATATCTCGTGTCCGAGTAGGGCTTCAGGTATCCCCGTTGCATAGGATATCCTGCATCAACCAGATAATATTTTCCTGGTACGAGAAACAATGTTAATAAAAAATTGCACAATCCCACATATTCAAATTACTAAACAAAACTAACCTGCTGGGGGGTGAGGGAAACACTGCGATCTATTCCTCGTGGCAAAGGAGAAAATACGACTGTCGTGTGCACTTCCTTCCCAGCCCGCAACCACAAAAGTAAAACACATGTTGAAGTCGCATACGGCCATGACATTTTGCGTTGTTGAACCACTACGACCGATGTATGCTACCTTCTCGTTGTTAGGTATTCGGGCATCAACGTGTGTACCGTCAATTGCACCAATACAGTTCTGTTTAGTTGAAAAACAAGAGCGTAATAATATTATTAAAGTATATCATGTATCAAATTAAAACCACTAATAATTACCTTGAAATATGGCATATATCGAGGATCGTTGGCAATTTGTTCTGGAGTAGTAGCAAATGATGGATCCTCTGGTTTAATTATTTGAGCAGCTAAGCTAATAAGTGCCTGTATTCCTTTTGAGAAATAGCGACTAATTGTTTCAGATGAATGTTGAAATCTTTCCATAGCTCCTCGAATTGACTCATTCTGTGCCAGAATGTACAGTGTTATTGCCAACACCTCCCGAGACAGGGTTCTAGAAGAACCATGAAGGCCGTGATTTAGACATAACTCGTTTAGAAGATCCATAAAAATCGTTCTCGTCATTCTGAATATATTTCTGAATCTTATTGGATGTCCCGAAAGCATTTCACTAACCCATCTATCTCCAACAAAGGTGGATGTCATACGGGGAATGCGAGTAGTTCTACGCTGGTAATAGTCCAACAGCAATATCGCAACGGCTGTAGCAAATGCCATTCTCCTACGACGTTGACGTTGCGGGTCCATCCTAAATGATTAACAACATCAACATTAATATTCAATAATAAAAATTCTCATTTGCTACATATAGAAAGATTAGACATGTACAATGACACATATAGAATAACAAACATATATTAAAAAAAAGAACAACACAAGTAGAAGTTCAATCAGTACTGATACATAATGAATCCATAAATAATATCATTCCTCAAACAAAACCCGCAAATATTCAAGCCGCATTTCAGGCTCAAGCGCCATGAATATTTTCATTCTAGTTGAATCCTCAAGTTTTTTTACACACTGTGCGTGAAATCTTCTATCTGCAACAACTTCAGGAATAGTCCCCAAAAGCCTCAAACAGTCTACTATGCTTGCATCAGAGATAGGTGGAGCGGCAAATGCTTCAATCAACCGATCGAAGGAGGTATTCATAACATGTTCTTTCTCTTTATTTTTCTTAGCAACCTTCGGCCTCTTGATTGTGCTAGACTCCCCCGTCTCCCTCTGATTAATGCTACGCACATCTTCATCAGGTGTCAATGGTTCAGGGGTAAATTCATCTGGCATCCCTGAAAAGGTACTTTCACTTGGGTTGAAAGTAAATTTTCCGGTAGCGACAATACATTTAAACATTATGTCGAGTTTTTCTTCAAATTATTTATTATCAAATTTTTAATCGTACAAAGCTGTATTTCTCACTGGAGAGGACTACAAATATTAAGTACATGTGTAATATGAAAATTCTAATCCATGTACCTCAATTTAAATTCCAAGAAAGCTAGGATAATTCACAATCCCAAAAAAAATTGTCAATGAGCTGGCCTGTCTCAAATTACACCGCAGGCAAATTACAACACAATTTTCATTTCTTTGGCTCAACACCAAAACCCATGTGTTAATTGCATCACATCGGCGGCTAGAAGCCAAAATCCTACAAATTGTAACATGAGAAGGCCGCAAATACAGCCGAAAATATCTAAAATAATAGCATTAAAAAGATTCCCACATCTAATGTAATCCTTAAGATTATGCATGAGCAGTAGAACTATATGTTGTTATAAATCTTCTGTATTACCATTTCTCAACCATAAGAGATGCAGCACAATTCAACTATTTCAGCCAAGAAAAAACAAATTTTTAAGCCAGTAGGAGTCAAACCGAGTTGCAAGGAGCTAAACTGGACCAATTTACAAGACCTTTTGGGCCCATTTTTAATTTACAAAACCTGCTCACACCCAACATATCAATCATCATCATGCGTATAATCTACACATGCCACACTATATGTTGTTATAAATCATCTGATAGTTGATGCAAGACAAGTCTCAATCAACAATGCCTTATTTGGTTATTGATTCAAGCAAGAAAAATCTTGAGAAGACTTTTAGCAGACTCAACTCTATTGTCATGCATAATCTTAAGGCAAATTACAACACAATTAGCAAGAAAAATCTTTACAAACATCAGCCAACGCTTTTACGTGAAAGAACAGCCAATTGGCACCATAAAAACATGTGATCATTGTGTAGGATGGAAATGAGGTGTTCCAGAAACATGAGGTGTATTACTTTCATTGTGTAGGATGGAAATGAGGTGTTCCAGAAACATGAGGTGTATTACTTTCATTGTGTAGGATGGAAATGAGGTGTTCCAGAAACATGAGGTGTATTACTTTCATTGTGTAGGATGGAAATGAGGTGTTCCCTCCTTCTAATGAGGTGTTTCAGGTACATGAGGTGTATTACTTTCATTGTGTAGGATGGAAATGAGGTGTTCCCTCCTTCTAATGAGGTGTTTCAGGTACATGAGGTGTATTACTTTCATTGTGTAGGATGGAAATGAGGTGTTCCCTCCTTCTAATGAGGTGTTTCAGGTACATGAGGTGTATTACTTTCATTGTGTAGGATGGAAATGAGGTGTTCCAGGAACATGAGGTGTATTACTTTCATTGTGTAGGATGGAAATGAGGTGTTCCCTCCTTCTAATGAGGTGTTTCAGGTACATGAGGTGTATTACTTTCATTGTGTAGGATGGATATATTACTTTCATTGTGTAGGATGGATATATTACTTTCATTGTGTAGGATGGAAATGAGGTGTTCCAGGAACATGAGGTGTATTACTTTCATTGTGTAGGATGGAAATGAGGTGTTCCCTCCTTCTAATGAGGTGTTTCAGGTACATGAGGTGTATTACTTTCATTGTGTAGGATGGATATATTACTTTCATTGTGTAGGATGGAAATGAGGTGTTCCAGGAACATGAGGTGTATTACTTTCATTGTGTAGGATGGAAATGAGGTGTTCCAGGAACATGAGGTGTATTACTTTCATTGTGTAGGATGGAAATGAGGTGTTCCCTCCTTCTAATGAGGTGTTTCAGGTACATGAGGTGTATTACTTTCATTGTGTAGGATGGAAATGAGGTGTTCCAGAAACATGAGGTGTATTACTGTCATTGTGTAGGATGGATATATTACTTTCATTGTGTAGGATGGAAATGAGGTGTTCCAGAAACATGAGGTGTATTACTGTCATTGTGTAGGATGGATATATTACTTTCATTGTGTAGGATGGAAATGAGGTGTTCCCTCCTTCTAATGAGGTGTTTCAGGTACATGAGGTGTATTACTTTCATTGTGTAGGATGGAAATGAGGTGTTCCAGAAACATGAGGTGTATTACTGTCATTGTGTAGGATGGATATATTACTTTCATTGTGTAGGATGGAAATGAGGTGTTCCAGAAACATGAGGTGTATTACTGTCATTGTGTAGGATGGATATATTACTTTCATTGTGTAGGATGGAAATGAGGTGTTCCCTCCTTCTAATGAGGTGTTTCAGGTACATGAGGTGTATTACTTTCATTGTGTAGGATGGAAATGAGGTGTTCCAGAAACATGAGGTGTATTACTGTCATTGTGTAGGATGGATATATTACTTTCATTGTGTAGGATGGAAATGAGGTGTTCCAGAAACATGAGGTGTATTACTTTCATTGTGTAGGATGGAAATGAGGTGTTCCAGAAACATGAGGTGTATTACTTTCATTGTGTAGGATGGATATATTACTTTCATTGTGTAGGATGGAAATGAGGTGTTCCAGAAACATGAGGTGTATTACTTTCATTGTGTAGGATGGAAATGAGGTGTTCCAGAAACATGAGGTGTATTACTTTCATTGTGTAGGATGGATATATTACTTTCATTGTGTAGGATGGAAATGAGGTGTTCCAGAAACATGAGGTGTATTACTTTCATTGTGTAGGATGGAAATGAGGTGTTCCAGAAACATGAGGTGTATTACTTTCATTGTGTAGGATGGATATATTACTTTCATTGTGTAGGATGGAAATGAGGTGTTCCAGAAACATGAGGTGTATTACTTTCATTGTGTAGGATGGAAATGAGGTGTTCCAGAAACATGAGGTGTATTACTTTCATTGTGTAGGATGGATATATTACTTTCATTGTGTAGGATGGAAATGAGGTGTTCCAGAAACATGAGGTGTATTACTTTCATTGTGTAGGATGGAAATGAGGTGTTCCAGAAACATGAGGTGTATTACTTTCATTGTGTAGGATGGATATATTACTTTCATTGTGTAGGATGGAAATGAGGTGTTCCAGAAACATGAGGTGTATTACTTTCATTGTGTAGGATGGAAATGAGGTGTTCCAGAAACATGAGGTGTATTACTTTCATTGTGTAGGATGGATATATTACTTTCATTGTGTAGGATGGAAATGAGGTGTTCCAGAAACATGAGGTGTATTACTTTCATTGTGTAGGATGGAAATGAGGTGTTCCAGAAACATGAGGTGTATTACTTTCATTGTGTAGGATGGATATATTACTTTCATTGTGTAGGATGGAAATGAGGTGTTCCAGAAACATGAGGTGTATTACTTTCATTGTGTAGGATGGAAATGAGGTGTTCCAGAAACATGAGGTGTATTACTTTCATTGTGTAGGATGGATATATTACTTTCATTGTGTAGGATGGAAATGAGGTGTTCCAGAAACATGAGGTGTATTACTTTCATTGTGTAGGATGGAAATGAGGTGTTCCAGAAACATGAGGTGTATTACTTTCATTGTGTAGGATGGATATATTACTTTCATTGTGTAGGATGGAAATAGAATGTTCCAGAAACATGAAAACTGCTATACCACTTGTTACAGAAATTTGAATATTTACATACATACCACTTGATTCTTTACATATTTGCTGAAACTTCAAAGGCATGTAGAAGCATTCGTTTGTTGTTCATACATTCCCCATATCAGAAAAAATGTCTCAGATTTTTTAAAAATTTGAAACATCTTCGATATGGAGAAATGTCACTGTAAATCTCATTTGAATGCCAAGATATGTGACTAGTGTCAATTAATAATGAAGTGGCTAGCAGTAAGAGGCAAGCAAGATCCATATAACAGAGTTATTGGCTGAAAACATAGTTATTGGCTGAAATCAATTCACTTGCTGAATTTAATGCCATTAACTGAAACCATTTGGAATAATTCTAATGAGCATTGTGTCTCAGATTTTGAGGAGAACATATGGATGATATTATATGGTCATACACTTGTTACAGAAATTTGAATATCTACATACATACCACTTGATTCTTTACATATTTGCTGAAATTTCAAAGGCATCTAGAAGCATTCGTTTGTTGTTCATACATTCCCCATATCAGAAAAAATGTCTCAGGTTTTTAAAAATTTGAAACATCTTCGATATGGAGAAATGTCACTGTAAATCTCATTTGAATGCCAAGATATGTGACTAGTGTCAATTAATAATGAAGTGGCTAGCAGTAAGAGGCAAGCAAGATCCATATAACAGAGTTATTGGCTGAGAACATAGTTATTGGCTGAAATCAATTCACTTGCTGAATTTAATGCCATTCACTGAAACCATTTGGAATAATTCTATTGAGCATTGTGTCTCAGATTTTGAGGAGAACATATGGATGATATTATATGGTCATACACTTGTTACAGAAATTTGAATATCTACATACATACCACTTGATTCTTTACATATTTGCTGAAATTTCAAAGGCATCTAGAAGCATTCGTTTGTTGTTCATACATTCCCCATATCAGAAAAATTGTCTCAGGTTTTTAAAAATTTGAAACATCTTCGATATGGAGAAATGTTCTGGCAATTGCTTAAGAATGGATATTTTGCCTGGTGATATGAGTAATCTTACTATTTTCATATTTCAGAAGCAATAGTTTTTTGACTAATCATATGTATAGACGACTAAGCAATAATTTGATGTTACCATATGTCATGCTTGCAATGTGATATGCATAATCCATAATGTCAAGGTCATATGCATAATCTGATTTGAACCAACAGAAATCGGGTAGAGATGAAGAAAAGAATGGCCGAATTGTAGCATGTAATAAAGATACTCCTTTCCCAAATCCATATTGTAGCATTCAATAGAGATGCAACGGATAATGTAAACAATTTTTTTGTAAGACGTTTCCCAGTAATGGAAGTTCTTTGTGAGACAGATGCCAAATCAAGAGAAGTTTTAGAAGAATATGTTAACTACCAAACAATCACTCGCAAAACTCAGAGATCCGAAGCAATAGAAGCAGGTACATGTAGAAGAACCAAAAAAAATTCATCGATCCATAAAACTCACGAATCCAGATCTTACCGGAGAGGGAAAAAGAACGAGAAATCGAGCCCTAATGATGCTTTCGTTCGGAGAGGGAGGAAGCGAGGGGAGAGCGCGAGGGAGATCACCAAGGGCAAAAGAAGGAATTGCAGCCCTAACGCCAACAGCCAACGCCGAACGCAGGAGGCGCCCCGCGATCCGCATAATGAAGAAAAACCGAACCGCGGGACGCAGCGTTCAGAACGCCGCCGAACGAACGCTCGAAACAAACGGGTAGGCGGCGTTCTGAAAACGCCACCGTCGATGAAAAAGCTGTGCCAAACAGGGCCTTAGTCTCACTTCTCAAAGATGGACTCACTAGTTGATCTTTAAAATAAAGGTGTAGAAAGTATAAACAAAATTCAATTATTCCAAAAAATTGGATACCTTTTTGGATTGGTGGGTCCATGACATTAAATAATATGTTTATTTTATTGTTATATTAGTCCTTAGTCCTTACAACTTAGTGACAAAAAACTTTTAAGCACAAGTTGTAAAAATTTGGACCGGAAACCATTTCGATGGGTGAACCAACATTTCAACCGGTTTTTGGCTGGTTCGATGTTGCATAAGGTTTTTAACTAAACAAGACCAGCCCTGAACCTGGTTCGACCGATCAAACCGTTTAAACCGGTCGGTCCGGTCCGGTTTTAATACCTTGATTTTTATTTGGGAGCATAAATCATGTGGCATAGTCCTAATAATGTGGTTGTCGTTTCCTCAATACATAAAGTTTTGTATAAATTCTTATGTAATATTTTTGATGAGTTGTAGCTTAAGTTCATTTCTAGTGTTTTGCTTAAGATCTATAAGGAGATAAATTATATTATGATAATAGTTGAAGTCCTTATACGGTTGCTTAATGTTAGGAATCATGTTTTAAAAAAGTCAAAGTTTGTGAATTAATCATTTGATTGGATGTAATTAGACACATTATTGATTTCAAATTTCATAAATTCTATGAAAATTCTCAAAATTGCAATTTAATCCACATTCAAAATGAGTGAAAATGAAATCTTAGTTGTCTTGCACTTATTTTAAACTTACATGAAACCCAATGAGCCTTAAATAAATTTTAGCTATAAGACTCATAAATCTTATGTAACACTCAAATGCTCCATAATGACCTTATTTATAATTTTGAAATGAATCATGCAGGTGATATTAATTGCAATGCTAACATAGGATGATTGAGTACTTCTTGCATTGATTTTGATAGAACAAGTTTAACTATCTGGGAATTACATAGTGTAACATTCGAAGAATTCTCTTAAATTTTTCAGAAGTCTTGGGGATTATACCTTTCATTGAATATTCTATTAGAAGTTTGAACCTCTTCGTAGACCCGTTGTTTTTGTCTTGAAACAAAATATAGCTGATTTTGTTTATATTGCATCATTCAATTTTTTAAATTGTCCTACTTGAAGCTGACTCCACACTGCAAATTTTAAGCTTAGACGTCCTTTGTTGTGGGATTTCTTAGGGTGAGTATTTCTAATTGTAATTGAATATTTCGATGCATGAACATACATAATTTAAATTGAAAATTTGCAGTTTAACAAGCCGCTAATAAAAATATTTTCTCCTCTTTTAATGTAAACCAGAAAAATATGAGAAATTCACACTAAACTCTCACTAGTTGCCTAAATTGAAGAAATCAAGTGAAAAATTTGAAGTCCAAAAAATATGCAACCTAATTTTAATTCATAAGTTAATTGGAAGCCCATGGTTATAGGTTTAACTAAAAATAAGTACACAAAATTAAACACGAATTTTTTATAAGAGAATAAAAAAAAATTGACCAAGTAGAGAAAATCATCTCTCATGCTAATACATGCTGATAACCTGGATTTTTGTACTTGAAAGTACCAACAACCAACTCAGCATGCAAGATTGAACTAAAAAAAAATTATCTTTTTTTTTAAAGCAAAAAACCTCCCTTACATGCCTTACATTATATATTTATAAGCATCAAATCATACAAGGGGCTACCAACAATGTTGTTCATCATAAGTTTTGAATACTATACTTTGGAAGACAATGTTTAAGTAGAATGACATGTTTTCACTGCCCTAACACCGACCTTTTGAAATATGCTTTTGTACATGAGTAATCTTTCCTAATTTACACATAAGAGCTGTTACTTATAAATACAAGAACCCTTGAAAGTGGTATATAGAGAGAGGGTGCACACATACATAGATTAACTTGTAGCTACAAAAATGGCAAAGGAACTGAATCTCGTTGTTGCATTAACTGAATGGAGAGTGAGTGGGAAAGAACTTGGATAAATACATTATGGACATATGTTATATTTTTTATAAATATATTGTAAAATTGTTTGTCACAATCCGACCCGTGGCGTGAAATTAACCGGACGGGAACATGCATTCGGATCGTAATAACTAAATTTTCTATATTTATCTATAATTTAACAGATAAAAGAATCACTATTTATACTAAATTAAAATAACAAAATTACATTTTGCTCCTTACTGGTTGTCGGCATCTTCTGTAAACGTTTTCTTGTTTGTCGTTCATCTTTTAATCACTTAATTAACCCGAAAAGTTGATTAAAATTACTGTGAGCTAAACAAACATGTGAATACTCATACTTTTAAACCACAAAAATACATGAAAAAATAAAGTAAAATGTATGCCTGTTAAACTTTTAATAAATCAATATAAACATTTAACATGCTATGCAATATATTACTTAAATCAATATTAACATTAACAAGCTATTCAATTTATTACTATGTCAATATCATGCTAATATCATTCTATATCTGTACAAATCATTATAGGTGCAGTCTAAAAATTGTACCACTTAAAGTTCTTTAATATTAATATCCATTTCCATATTCGTGCACAAATGCCTTAATGTTCTCTCACTAGTAACATCAAGAGGTGACTCTATCATAGTCAGTCATGCACATATAAAAATTCTATCAAAATTATTATTTACTAAAAATATATTTTATTCCCATTTGCGTATAATAAAATATACTTATAAATTATTTAAATAATGCTATGTACACATATCATTCTTACAATATGAGCAGAAGTTTACTAGAATTTAAAATCCCTAATCTATAATAATTACAACATAATTAATAAAAGTACTAATTAATGTTTTTGGTCTAGAAGAAAAATATCACCACACTAAAATAATGACTATTTACTTCGATGTCAATTAATTTGTTATTTGATTTGCCTTTATATCGAATCTTTTAAAATTGAAAGCCTAAACATGAGTATTCATATAACAGAACTTTAATTCGTTATCATTTTAAGTAGCTATTAAATTTGCTTTATTTAAAATATTAAATTTCCATTATTTTTCTTTGTCGACTTGTGTTAAGAAAGGCAGAGGTAGACCTAGGAAGACTTGGGCTTATTGTATTAAAAATGATCTTAATTTACTAGAACTAAATGAAAATATGACA